CTTCAGCTCATGTAGTTGTCTTTCTGGATTCCATTACAGAACAGTGGGAGAAATGTAAAAATAAATTTTAAAAAAGGAATTTATTTACGAAGAAAGTCAAATTGTTTCTAGTGAATCAACAACTGCAGCCGCGATATTGACAAGTGGGTGATGAGTATATCTCAAGTATATTATTTGCATAGGGGACATTCAAGTCAATCGTCCTGACAAGTGGGTTTTGAGTACATCTCAAGAATATTATTTGGTTGGGGACATTCAACCACGTATATCATCTGCGCCACCTACATATCCTAGAACCACCACTGTGGACGGGAGGATATAATCAATTTATAAAAAAATGTAATCTTTACACTCTCTTGTGACGGTATTTGAGTATGCAATGAACGATTCACTCGCGGTCACTACAGAAACAACTTTGACTCTTTCCGCATTTAATTCCATAGTATTTTATAATGCAACCAGCACGCACGTCATGTAACTTATTACAGCAAGAAGTGTTTACTGCTTTTGATCACAACATTGGATAGGAAACAAAATCTGCTTGTTGTGGAAGCAAAGGCATACCTCACCACCCCAACCCCCCATAACATAGGATGGAATGACCAGGGTACAGGGTGGGTGAGCGGGGGAGGCCAAACTTCTTTGCCATGTGCCATGTGATCGGGTGCAGATAAATATTTGCAGAAAGATGATTGGCCGAGCTGTTGTCAAAGAAGTTCGGATGTTCGGTTGTTTACCGTTCATGCTTACACCTGGGACTCTAGGTCCGACCGCCCGCCGTATCAATAGCCTTATGCAGTTCTAAACGGTGGGATACCCGTGACAATGGCGCGTGAAAATGGCCCCCACCACGCCCCTGTCTCGGTTGTCACAGAGCATGCTCGCGCCGCGAGATCCAGGGGCGTGGCCGAGGTGTGCGTGGATGGTGGGTCGGGGTATTAGGTGGGACCTTTCTCTGGGACATGATTTGGGTCAGGCTGAAAAAAAAAAAACAACGGCACAATCTTGGTGTTTGGCGGTGGTCGCCCTTAGAAAGCAGGTTTACGGGTATATAGGGGGGGGGGATTTGGCTTGTAACATAAAGAGATCCAGACACCCCCCCCCCTTTTTTTTTTCCAACCCACACACATTGCTACCTGTGGTGTTGACCAAGAGCGATAGCAGTAAGTCAGTCGTCATGGTCGCATCAAGAGAAACCATCTTCGACCCACCCACTGGAGTTGGCTGTTCACATTGCAAGATCGTTAAAATAAAATAATTCCCGCAGAATCAAATAATAAGAGAACTACAGTGTAAAATAAATGAGGACAACAGTGTAAAATAACATGGGAGCTATAATGTAAAATAGCATGAGAACAACAGTGTAAAATAGAATGGGTGTTATAGTGTAAAATAACATGAGAGCTATAGTGTAAAATAACATGAGAGCTACAGTGTTAAATAATACGAGGACCACAGTGAGAAATAACATTAGAGCTATAGTGTAAAATAACATGGGAGCTATAATGTAAAATAGCATGAGAACAACAGTGTAAAATAGAATGGGTGTTATAGTGTAAAATAACATGAGAGCTATAGTGTAAAATAACATGAGAGCTACAGTGTTAAATAATACGAGGACCACAGTGAGAAATAACATTAGAGCTATAGTGTAAAATAACATGGGAGCTATAATGTAAAATAGCATGAGAACAACGGTGTAAAATAAAATGAGAGCTATAGTGTAAAATAACATGAGAGCTACAGTGTTAAATAACATGAGAGCTACAACGTAAAATAAAATGGGATATGTGTGTAAAAAACATGGGAGATGCATTATAAAATAACATGAGAGCCACCGTATAAAATAACATGAGAGCGACCGTGTAATAATATATATATATAAATTTCTGCTTTTAAAAAAATCAACTTCGTCGAATGATTGTCTTGGCCCTTGGTGAATACATGCGTAGATTTTAAGATGCTAAGGGAAATTACAAGAAGAAACGTTTGAGATCCCACGTTAAATTATTAGCCTCCCTTTAATTTAAATACTCGTTTCTTTTTAAAAAATAACACCAAATCATCATAGGAAACCTGTTGGTATCCTGTTGCTTTATAAACATTTATCACCATTGCCACTCCTTCCCCCCCCCCTCCCCCGGAGGCGTGGTATAGCTTTTGTTAGCGCCACCCTGGATGGACCCATATCGTAACCGTACCATTTCCAAATAAAATGTCTGCAGTTGGATCACTCACAATATAACGAAAAAATAAGAGCCGATGGGGCTTACCGCCCCCCTACACCCCGTTTTATGCGATACCACCCCCACCGTATTGGTGAAGCCAAAAAAAATGGCACCATCTCTCCCTTTATTTCTATATTTAAAAAAACAAAACATTTTTAATAAATCAGACCATCGTCTCAAACTTGTACAGGTGGTTAAATATCTATAACCATCTAGCCGTTAATCTTCTAAACCAGGCCTGCACAACTCAAAGTGTAAGGCGGGCCGTAATACTTTATAAAAAAATTGTGCGGGCAAAAAGATAATAGGACAGGAGCGAAAATTATAAAGACAATAAAAATAATAAAGAATATTTCGTTACTTCGCGGGCCGCCAAGCATGCGGCCGGCGAGCCGTATATCGTGCAGGCCTGTTCTAAAACAATGTAAAAGTTAACTGTCTAAATTTTAAATTTAGTTGTGAGAACCCTACGTGAGGAAAATGTTATATGGCTCAGCTCAACAGATGGAGCTGGTAGCCAATGTGATAGCCGGGGACATAAGAGAGTAATCTCAGACCCTCGCCAGAATATGTTCGTTGGTTAGTTGTGAAAATGCGCAATCGGTACAATAGAAGCTATCATAATTTTTTAAAAGATTAATCTTGTGTTGTCTTCGATACGAAAAGTTAACATTTTTGTGTTAAAAAACATTTGAAATCAGAATTTTTTTCCCTGCGGACGTTAGCACAAACTTTTTTGTTTTGTTTATTCTTTATAAATTATAAAGAATACATTATCAGATTCATGAATATGATTCTAACGAGACGAGAAGAGCAACACAAAAAAGTACTTCATATATGTATCAAGAGGCGATGCTTGACTAAATGCCCCCTCCCCCAATGAGAGTGCGCCCCCAACACACAAACACACCAAGTATATAATTGTATATTTAAACCCTAATAGCGCTGTCTCATCCTTCTCTACCCCCCCCCCCCCCCCCCCCCCNCAATAGAAGCTATCATAATTTTTTAAAAGATTAATCTTGTGTTGTCTTCGATACGAAAAGTTAACATTTTTGTGTTAAAAAACATTTGAAATCAGAATTTTTTTCCCTGCGGACGTTAGCACAAACTTTTTTGTTTTGTTTATTCTTTATAAATTATAAAGAATACATTATCAGATTCATGAATATGATTCTAACGAGACGAGAAGAGCAACACAAAAAAGTACTTCATATATGTATCAAGAGGCGATGCTTGACTAAATGCCCCCTCCCCCAATGAGAGTGCGCCCCCAACACACAAACACACCAAGTATATAATTGTATATTTAAACCCTAATAGCGCTGTCTCATCCTTCTCGACCCCCCCCCCCTCTCCCCCCAGGTACGCTAATGGGGGTGTTCATTTGTTGCGAACCCTTCAAATGTACAGCACGGCCTTGAATCTCCAGAAGTGCTATATTTGAGCATGATGTCATGGCTGAGAAAAATCGATCAGCAACGTCCCCCAGCGTCGCCTGGTAGTTCCAGCCCTTGCCACTGTGTCGCGATCGATCTCAGGCAACGCCAGTGTTCTCGGCAACACACGTTCTTCCTGGGAATATGGCGGCGATCAGGAGCCTCGGGACATTCCATTTCTCTTTCTGATTGACGTTGTTTTACCCCTGCATGGCTTCTTTGACGGAGTGCGCGGTTTTTCTTGTTATATATATAAATATTTATATATTTATTGTCAGGTCTCCGTTTCGGAGCTGGAAAATAATCTCGTAGCATGCGTGTCACAATCGTTCAGTAGCAGAAGGTCGCACTCGTAAGTCGTAAGCAAGGGGAACGGAAACCATGAGGAATTTTTCTTTCTGAATAATCAAGTAGGGGAAAGCATGGGAATACGACTAGCTGTAAGCAGTCTACTGCGCCCGGTGTTTGTGTAAGATAAGATACGCCACTTAACAAACGTGTCAAGATAGGTCAGCTCAGGAGAAGATAACATTCACAGGTATGACAAGTTTGGACCATAAAAGCTAGGTACGGTTCGGTAAATAAAGCTCATGTTATTGATGTACGTGTTTCTGATTTACCAGTTAAATGTATTGTATTTACTCCACAAATTGTGTTATTTATTTATTTATTTTATTTATTTTTTTTTTTTTTGGGGGGGGGGTGTGTGAAGAAATTGACTATCAGTGTAATTGATAGAAGTCTGATATAAGTCGTTAGCTTGAAACGAAATGTTAAAAAAATCACAAATTGTGTTATTTATTTATTTATTTTATTTATTTTTTTTTTTTTTGGGGGGGGGGGGGGGTGAAGAAATTGACTATCAGTGTAATTGATAGAAGTCTGATATAAGTCGTTAGCTTGAAACGAAATGTTAAAGAAATGTTTTATCTACGAGCTCAGTACAATTTGAAAAATCTTTTGCAATAGGTTTAGGAGTCCAAAAGCACTACAGATAAAGCTAGTGTTTTTTTTTTTTTTTTTTTTTTTTTTTTGTGTGTGTGCATCTGTGTCTATTTAACTAACCATTATTTAAAGACCATTAGACCCTAACATCGCAGATCCGTATATCTTTTTAACGGCAACCACCCTTGCTCTGCGATAAATGTAACAAATGTTTGTTGAATTTGCTTATAATGAATGGGAAATTGCAGTATTATTACTCCATGAGGAAGTTATTATTATTTTTTTTTTCCATAAGCCTCACAGGGAGTGGAGCTGTTTTGTGAATCCACCAGTTGAGACGAACTCGCGCTTCTCGGAAAGTGCTATCACTGTGAATTTTTCTTTCAACAGCCATGGACAACTATACATTTGCATTTGCTGGTCCTGGATTTAGGAACAAGGCCAGATCATTTATGTCACAATTCTCTGATACCTTCAGTGCTTTTTCAAAGTACATCGCACCATCATACCATCATGATCGCTGCGAGAGGTATGATGCCCATAGTTTCAGATTAATTATAAGTTATAGTTCTTTTAAAGTCAATGACATAATTTTTTATTAAAAAAAAAAAATACTGAGCAGGATAATATATTTCTTAGAAAAGAACCTTTCATGTTAAAGCCGAATAAATTTTCCCGAAAGCCGGAAGTGTTTCGGTGTCAACAAATTTAGTTTTTCACAGTAGTGTCCCCTGGCTTTAGTTACAATCATTTAGTGTCGCTCAATTATTTTATTTAACCACTACACTACAATGCCACGTGAAATAGAAGCGTAAGTTAAAAATTAGATTAAAGTTAAACTTCTGAAAATCTTTTTTTTTTCTATTTTAACATGTATATAGTCTATCTTTATAGTAAACTTGACGTGACAGGGACTGAGTGGTGGTAAAACTGCGATGAATCCGATGAACATGACATAAATGATAATGATAAAATAAGTCATAAACGGCATCATTAGTGACTGGCTGATGTGACTCATTATATTAGGCGGGATGATTAGTCGGCAAAGGCAACAGCTAATGCAGAGAATATGTGCCATTAGGGTTCAGTTTAGGAATAGGGATACATTTAGGGTTCAGGTTAGGTTTAGTGACAGTGAATTATAAAAGTTCACAGATCGTGGCAGCCGTGTGATACGTCATGGCACCAATTGTTTGCATTTACCTAGAAAACCAATACTAAAATGAACTATTAAGCGTCATAGTGCATAGTATAGTATAGTCATAGTCGCTGACAATGAGACAAAGATTGAAAGATACAGTAGGCCTATAGTCTAAAGATCAGAAGAAGCTGAAGATTAAGTCGGTATCATTGACTGTCTTGAGTCTTGACAGACATTCGGTCAGTCACAGAGTCAGGAAATAAGAAATTCCTGCTAAAACAGACAATTCTCTCCATGACACCATTTACTGGTTTATTTAAGGTTCTATTCAGGTTAGATTGGTTAATTTTGGGTTAGCGGTAAGGCTGGCGATGTGTTCCACGGTATAGGCCTATAGGTCACGGAAGTTCCCCCTGGTCAACTTCCATCTACAGCGCTGTATTAAAAGGATTTCGATGTTTATATTCACATAAAGCAAATTTTTTGTTCTTTTTGAAATTGGGGGAGGGTTTTGGGGAGGGGTCTCCCTCCCCATCCCTATAAGATCATTCCAAATGCAATTTAAGCACTCATCTCCCTTTTGTTACCAAAGTTTCAACATACAGGTGTATTGATTTTCAACTAATCAGATCAAAATACAGCATCTTTGTTTGGCGTGCGTCTTTTTTTTCACCGGTGTTGGGTCTTGGGGTATCAGCAAGGATGTGTTTCTTTTTTCCTTTCTTTTGAAACGTGTAAGTTGAATGTTAATACAAATTATTGGAAAATTTCATTTTAATATTCTTCATTTGAACCGTATCGTTTATGACGCGAGTAATGCTCAGTAAAGAAGAGGAATGTTATAACACATTGTTCGGGTCCTACAATTAATAGGTCTATTTACCCTAAGTCCAGTGTTGTGATTCCCCAAAGTGACGTCACTGCGCTTAGGGTGGGACAACTCTTGGCAAAACCAATACTGATAACCCAAAATTTACTGGTTTAGGGATAGGTTTAGGTGGGGCCTTTCACTGGTCATGGTGGATGTGGCGAAGATTGTCTGAATTTACCAAAATTCTATATGCATATTGAGAAGTTATTTTTATGCTTTTTCTTTTTTTTTTCCACCCTCGGGATTTGGAATTAAATTATAATTAGGCATTAATTCGTTTATTATTATTATTAGTTATTATTAGAAACTTCTTGACTGCCTTAGTTTAGGCTTGTGTGAAATTGAATTTAAATCTATTTTATACGTTAACAATAACATTATTAAGCCTATGCCTATTTGTAAATATATGCAATCCACGTCAATCAAACTCATGTCACTGTGTTCAGCACTACTTTTTTCCCACGGCCGCCATATTTGTTGCCATGGTGGCAGACAAGTCATTGCAAGAAAGCTGGCGGCTGTGTATGATAAATGTATTGCAAAAACAGGTCTGCTAAAAAGTATTTATAAATTAGCAAAAAACATGCAAATTCAAGGCAATTTTGGTAAAGAAAAATCTACACTATGTAACCAGAATGTTAAGTCAGTAATCAGTATCCTTAACTCAAATGTAAATTCCTCTGTAAATTTGGGTACCTGCTAACTTGAGCGTATTTACACCCCTAAACATAGTCCCCCCAACGTAAGCGTAAATCTTCAAACCTAAAATCTGTGGCTTAACTTGAGCTTTATCCAGGTGTTCGTTTGCTACAGTTATTATGTACTGTATTTTACTGAGAAAATTTTAAATTTTTATAAAAAGATTAAAATCATTTTTAAAATATTCAAAATAATGAAAACCCAACTCTACAGCTTCATCACATACACTTTATCAGCAAAAATAAAATCCAAAAGTTGTAAGAAAAAAAAATCAATAAAAAATTCCAAAATGCTGGCCTAGTTTTAAACATTATAAGTAACCACCCAATGAAATATCAATTTAAAACATTCCATCGGCATATTGCTATTTAAAAAAAGAAAAGGTAACCCTAGAAACAATCCAAGAATAAACAAAAAGGGAGAGAATCCTACACAGACACTCAAAGTGGTACGGAGAACGTAAATTGGCCGGCCTATTATATAGCACTTACCAGCTTACTGAAAACCTAGTCAATTTAAATAATGAAATAGAATACTTCATCAGTACACAAATAAACTTATAGGCTAACCTCCACTAGTAGGCCTAATGAAAGCTAGCTAGTGATGCCTACTTTTACCAGGCTAACTAGGCCTGCAGGTTAAGTATTTAAATGTACTGTGATTCTGAATGTCATTAAATTGATGATGTAATAAAATGATTCTTTGATTTATAGCCTGAGTTAGGATCCATTCAAAGTGTACGTTTTTTATAACATTGAAGAGGGTAATAATATGGAATTATACTTTACTAATTATAATTCAAGTATGGCCTAATAAGCCTATAAGAAATAAAAAAAAGATCCCTCCACAATGCAAAATACTTTTAGAACTACGTTTTTAAAAATAACAAAATGGTGGGGCCTGGTTGTTACTTTTGATATAAAAAAATTGAAAGTTTGTTAGTTCATAGCAGTCATGGTATATTTTATAAAAAGGAGATTGTTATGCTTATGGGGGGAGGGGTGGGTGGTGGTGGTGGAGAAAGGCCCTATCATGCTATGCCCTCCCCCACCTTTCCTTAGAAAATGTGATTGATTCTTTTTTTAATTATCAGTACTAGACAAAATTAAGCCTACTGGAAGATACAAGAAAATGAGTGAAACATTGTTGTAGAAAGCCTGAAAAAGAAGGAAGATAAAGCTTTTTTTGTGTGTGTGTGTGTTCTATTCTCTTCATTCATTAGAAAATAACATTTTGTTTAATACTGCATACATAGATTTTATACATTTATTTTGTTAAATCAAAAATTCTGTTTAAAAAGTTTGAGCTACTGAAATGAAGAGGAAAAAAGAACAGGCTTGCTTTTGCTAAGATTTGTATTTAAAATGTGGAAGATAAAAGGGGAATTTAAATCTTGCAAATGTGTAAATAGTCAAATTGATAAAACTTATATAATTTTTCCTTCAGATCTGTCCAGATGCGGCTGTATTCTCTCAACAAAAGACAATTTGTACTGGTGTTTGTAACTTTCTTTGTCTGCTTCTTGATCAGTGTTTTAGTGGGGATAGCAGGTAAGAATGATAAATTTCTATCATTTGTTAAATGAATATTCATAACTGACACACACAAAAAACCAACCTTCATTTAGTTTTTGATGTCATATATCCTGATTTTCAAGTGGTAAACCAACATTTCAGTTTTATATTTCATTTGAGAAAAAAGGGGTCATTAAATTGAATTTTATTAAGTAGGTAAGAATGTTATTATAATAACATTAATAATGTTTAATTAATGTTCCTGTTTCTGCTCCTCTCATTTAATTCTATCACTAAACATCTTAGGGCCTCACATTATTGATTCCTACTCAGTCAATGGATCACTCGCCTTGAAAGAGCAACAGAATAAACAGGTTTTAAAGCATTGTTGTTTTTGACAAGTGAAAATATATTTAATATCTGTTTGATTTGTAAAGGGAGCATTGTTTCTATTGTTTTCAGCAAATTTGATTTCATTAAAATTTTTTAAACATTTACATTTAAATATATAATTAATTTAATAATGTTAACCTGCACTCCAACTGATGCCTGCATCACGGTTTTGTCAAAAAATGTCTTGCCATCTTTATTTCCAGACTGGTCCCTTCATCCTTCACTCACCCCCCATGTCCACATTTCATCAACAGTTGTGGTTGATAGCTGATGTCACCATCACTGATAGCATAGGTACAATATATTTTTTAGTATCAAGTTTTCCAAGCATTTACTTACCATCTAATGCATTTTGACCTCATAGTTTTACCCTTTTTCCCACCCTTGTTAAAGAAAATGGTCAGAATAAGTCCTAGAATACCTGATAAAGTAGAAGTAAAAATTTATTTGGTTGCACTAGATTAAATAATGTTAATTTTTGGGATATGGACACTAAAGCTAACCATTTTCCATCTTGAAGCTTGGATGTGGGCACTAAAACTGACCATTTTCAATCATGTAGTTGGGATTTGGGCACTAAAGCTAACCATTTTCAATCATGAAGTTCAGATATGGGCACTTAAGCTAACCATTTTCAATCATGAAGTTGGGATATGGGCACTATAGCTAACCATTTTCCATCATGAAGTTAGCATGTGGGCACTAAAGCTAACCATTTTCAATCATGTAGCTGGGATTTGGGCACTTAAGCTAACCATTTTCAATCATGAAGTTGGGATATGGGCACTAAAGCTAACCATTTTCCATCATGAAGTTCGGATGTGGGCACTAAAACTAACCATTTTCAATCATGTAGTTGGGATTTGGGCACTAAAGCTAACCATTTCAAAGATGGGGGCAGATATCATTTGATTTAAAATATATCTATTTTCAGGATCAAAGTTTGAGCAAGAATTCTCCATGGGTATTCTCATCAGAGGAGCGAACGGAGATGCCCAGAGTGTGGAGGAGTCGGAGACCAACCCTCACCTTAGCACAGAGATGCACAACAGAACACGCAAACTTAAGTGCAGTGGGGTTCGTGACCCATCTATTTCTAGTTGTCTTTGAAGCTTACGTAATAAATGAGGACTTTTGGGTCATTAATGTAATTTTGTTGACTTGACAGGCAATGTGTCCCCAAAAATGCTCAGCATTTCTCCCACTGCCTGGTCTCTGTGATGGTACATGGAAGTGTCCTTTGATTTATTTTTTACTATGATGGAACAGCTCTTCTCTGTGTCCTCTTAGGCAGATAGAAAATATTTTTGATCCTGTCACTATTTTTACTCTACTCATGCTCAAACTTTGTGTCCTTTCCTATGTATTTAAGACAGTTTAATATATAGAAGTAGCTGCCAGTATCATTTTTAATCCCATTCCCTTCCATAGACAAACTGTGATGACCTGATTGTCATGCACCTGGGTTACCTGGACTTTGCCTATTACTACATCACAGTAGTGTTCTATGACCTGGACGTTAACAAACTGACCATAAGCAATGTCAAGTTCACAGTAAGAATATTTAATAATCTTAATATGGAGTTGCAGTTTTTTTATTTCAGTTTAATTGAAAGAGATTATTTAATTAATGTATCATGAAGATTCTCAAAAGCATCTCAACCATAAACTATTTGTAATCAATCTCTTTCTCAATATCTCTTTACTCAGTTTAAGATAAAGAGATTATTTAATTAAAGTATCATGAAGATTCTCAAAAGCATCTCAACCATAAACTATTTGTAATCAATCTCTTTCTCAATATCTCTTTACTCAGTTTAAGATAAAGAGATTATTTAATTAAAGTATGATGAAGTTTCTCAATAGCATCTCAACCATAAACTATTTGCAGTCATTCTCTTCCCCCAATATCTCTTCATTCAGTTCAAGAGTTACAACACTTCCTTCACCCAGATTGAAATCTGGATTCGTTTTGTTTTCCTGGTCCTCACATTTCTGACGACGGTAAACAACTTAATATCCTTTTATGTTAATGTACACAGTAAAAAAAAAAAGGCTTACTTAAGCAAGATAACTGAAAGTTAATATTTAAGAGAAGACACAAATCTGTCAGCTTTTATATCATGACCAAAACTTATTTTTGTGGTGTGAAGGAGGATTATTATTGTTAACTTGGGAACTGCTAATGTCCTCTGTATTGGATGTGAAATATTTGCAAGCAAGTAAAGTATACATTTTGAAATTTATGTGAATTGTGATGTACCAGTACATTAAGAATCAAGCTGTACAAAGTTGGTCCATCAGGTAGTTCAATAAGTGTTAAGTTTTAATTTTAATGAAGATTTATCAGACTTTGACAACACTTTAATTAAAATATTTGTCTGTTAGCTTCAATTAATTAATTGATTCTTTAAATCACTCACAGTGTTGGTATGCCCACAGTTTACGGAAGTTTTCACTTAGAGACTGGTCAATAGAGCAGAAGTGGATGTCCTTGCTGCTGCCCCTGTTATTACTTTATGATGGTGAGGCATTTCTTCATTGTGTTTCAAAACAGTAAATTTTCATCTAATCATAAAATTTAAGTCATTTATCATTTAATATTATTGTATCAAAGCTCCTCATATTAAACATAATTTTCACTACCACTAGATGTTAAGTTATCTGTCTTTATAGTGTTTAGTTATTTAGCAATGTGTCCATTAAAATGTTCAGTTTAGTTGTGTCCTTTCGATGTTTTGTTCTCTATCCTTACTTCCTGCCAATCTTGAAATGAATGTTTTGCATTTACTGTCATTGACTTAACTATTTTAACGAGACATTTGCTTCTGCAGATCCCATCTTTCCATTGACCTTCCTGGTGAACAGCTGGTTACCCGGCATGCTGGATGGCTTGTTCCAGGCATCTTTCCTCAGTGCCTTGTTACTGTTCTGGTTGTGTATATACCACAGTGTCAGGGAGGTAAGTCATGCCCACCAAGGTCCCTTTGATCTGTGCATTATACAAACAGGGACTCCTCAGATAATTTTGGCCAAGGTTTACATCCTATCCAAGAATAGTTGCCTTGCTGAGGTTTTTTTAGCGATTTGGCCCATAGCTTCGGATGACCTTGGGCCATTTTCAACCCAGCCACCCTTTCTTAAATACATGGGAGATGTACATTTCAAAAAAATGGTAAATCAACAACAAGTAACGAACTTAAGAAATTTAAGAAAACTGTACCTAAAAGTTGCAACAAAAATGGGGTCATTAGTTATTCCTTTATTTATGGTCACCAGTGGTTAGGGCTTATCGATCATCTCAAGATTTTTTTACTATCTAAGCACATTTTCTCCCATTTCCAGCTCTAGGCACATAGTAAATTAATGCATCAACAAAACAAAGGGGCTATAATACATTTCTTATATTTTTGAAAAATTGAATATTGTAATGGATTTGAGATTAATTGTGGTGGCTTTTTTAAAAAATTTTTATTGAACATGGAGGTTTTGTTTTATTTGTATCTTAATGATAGAAAGCAACTGAAAATTATAACTTTTAATTTATTTTGTGACGACCTAATGCTAACAAGCTGCAGGCTATTGAGAGACTTTTGGATGTAATACATGATTTCGAAACAAAAAACCCAGACTCCGAATGTCTGGCATTCAGCGTGCTCCCCCCTGAAGTCACAAATCTTAATGAGAACTAATAAGTCCCTGAAATGGTTAAGAGAATTCACTGAATGGCTGTTTTTTTTTCACTAGTGAAATAATTTAATGTGGATGTCTCGTGTTCAGATCGTTTTATTTATGTGCTGAAAATGTACAATGCAATCAAAAAACATTTCCATTTGTTTGGATAAATAAAATATTCTTATCTTATCTTATATTGATATCTTTATCTTGTTCAGACTGATCGACGCTTTGCTAGATTTTACCTGCCCAAACTGGTTATAGTTGGTTTAATTTGGTTATGTGCGGTCACTCTGGCATCCTGGCAAGAATATAATGAGCTTCAGGACCCAACCTACTACTACAGGCTGGACACAAGCAATTTTGAGGTCAGTATTTGAATGGTTAACAGGTTATTTCAAAAGATTAACTTGTGTGAAAGGGTCAGAATTGATGAGTGTTCTTTTCATGGGACAATCATTGCCATTCCAAACACTGAAACCGTTTGGTAAAATGCTATTTTCTATACATGTCATCAATATTATAACTTACATGGTCTCAGTTTCTATATGGGTTTTATATCCTAATAATTCACAATATTTAGCACTTAATAACTTTATTTAGGGTCTATTTGACTGGCATTTATTTATGCAAGTGCAAACACACACAAAAAAAAAGTTAGTAAAAAAAAATATTTTTTTTTTTGATAGTTCAGAACTGACAAGCAGACTGTAAAATTAAAGGAATTGTCATCCATAAAATGAGACCACACTTTATTTATTAATCATACTAGTCTGTTGCTTTGTTTTAAAATACATTTTGATTGAATTGATATGAATTTATGAAAGAAGGCTTGTAGAAGCTATTTGGTTTTGCATAAAAAAATAATTTGAAAGTCTCTTTTTTTTACAGAATTGTTGATGAACCTTGTCCCATTTGTGCTACTTACATTCAAATAAAGTAAATTAAAATGCTTTTATCTCCGCCCAGGGTTTCAAGATTTTGTTTTTCATTGTTGGCGGCTTCTATTTGTTGTATCTCCTGTACCTGTTGGTGAGAGCTTACGCTGAGCTGCGACTGATGCCGTACTTTGGTAGGTGGTCATTCAAATGTTTTGGTTGGAGTTGTTGGGAAATTGGCATTTTTGTTGATTTATCAACTTGCAGTGCATCTTTTTTTGAACATTATGGGAACTCCTTAATTTTATCCGCAATATAAAGAGAACTACTATTTAGAGCAATACTTTCCTGACCATGGAATTGAGATACAAACACCATAATACAGATTTTGATTTTCTCTTTTAAGTTTCAAAGTACCGTACACACTTTCTAACTTTATTTCACAGATCTGCGTCTCAAGTTTATGACTGCTCTGATGGTCATCGTTGTGTCCATCAGTATTGCCATCACTGTCATGAGGTTTGGCGGTGGTGTCCTGCAGGACAACTTTGTCTCTGAACTGTCCACAAACTATGAGAACTCTGCTGAGTTTGTTTCATTCTATGGTCTGCTCAATTTTTACCTGTACACAATGGCTTTTGTTTACTCGCCGTCACCAAATGCCATGTTTGGTAAGTAGTTTGAAACATCTAAATATATTGTGACTGTTAAACTTTTGGTCTGCTGATTATTCTAGAAGGCCTTAACTAATTACCTTTTTTCTTTTCAACCTGGACCACTCAGAAATTTTACGCAGGTGAAATCCCAGCCCATTTGGATAAACTTCATGAATAACCTAGATTGCTTCAGATAAATTTTAAAAATGTATTTTGTCATATGATTACATGAAATTAAGTGGAATACAGTATGGATAGATGGATGATTCATGTATTTTGCTATATAATTTTTCAATGCTTTTGCTATAAAAATTGTTAAATATCAAACTTTGAAAATGTGCTAAACTACTCACCATTGACACCATCAAAAGATAAAGCCACAAAAAAAAAAAAAAAAATTAATTCTAAAGGCCAGATTGATATAATAACACTATATATCTAGTGGCACAGTGCTTCTCAACTTTTTAGTGCCATGGCCCCTTGATAACATTTGCCAAGTTGCTGCGACCCATGACCAGTTTTATGTCTAGAAATTGAGAGCAGATGTTGAGAAGTTGAAGGGGGTGGGTACTGACTTTTATAGATTTTTAAAAAATAAAAAAAACTTCACATAGAATAATTTTTTTTCACTTCAATAGCTATTTAGTTTATTGTGCTCTGGTAGTATGGGAATATGCTATGAGTGTGTTACTGTAACTCCATTTAGTTAAACTCAAGGGCTTAGTTTTATTTAATGAGAAGCTATAAATTATTGATTTCCGTATTTGCCTTACCATTGAGCTTTATACATGTCAAATGCAAATACTGTTAAGATAACATAAACAGCATTCACAACATTCCTGGTGGTGATTAAAGTAATAAGCATATATTACAAATGATTGTTTTTTTCCAGCAAGATTTGATAGGGTAATGGGCATTAGTTAGTTTACTCACCTTTACGCAGTTACAGTTTTATTGATTGTTAAGACAATTTGTTGTTGATTGTTAAGACAATTTTTTGTTTATTGTTAAGACAATTTTTTGTTTATTGTTCGAACGAATTTTGCAAATTTTTCAAGGTGATAAAAATGAAAAATTTTTAACTTCTTTTTAATCAATGTGATCATGTGACTTTGGCCAATATTGATCTCAATTTAGGTTACATATTTTAAACATTTATTAAAACTCTTTACTGCTCGTCTTAAAAAAATGTTCTTAAATTTGACAATTGTGGTTGTTCTTAAGAAATAATTAATATGCAGAAATCCTCTGTCAAACGTTGAAACAATTTGAAATTAAGTCAATTTTTATTGTTATACAAGTTTAATCAAAACCGCATTTTATATTCTGCTGCTGTTATTAAGTTTCTTGTCAATGTTTTCTAATGTAACTTGCAGGGCATCTTATACAGCATGCAACTATTTAATTATTTCTTATTTCTTTAAATAACTCATCATCACCCACTTTTCCCTCACACAGAAACTCATTTCAAAGATAATCCTGCCCTTTCTATGCTGAATGACTCGGATGAAGAAATCCAGTACTCGTAAGTTCCTTATTTATGTAAGAATGATTCCTAGCAAAAGGAGGATTTTTTATTGCCTAAGAGTAGCCCAAAAATCACTTTTGATATATTTATTTTTTCATGGGGGATCATAATTGAGCTGTTTTCATATTAGACCATATTTTCTCTCTGGGGTTTTGGTTGTGCATCCTCTTCACTGCTCTCATTTGGCATTCTTTCTAAACATCCAGCCCAGTATAAAATTTGTCTGAATCGCACTTGTAAATGTGAAATGATTGAGTTGGTTTTGCTTACCAATAATTGGAGATTAACAAACACGTTTTTCAACTCTCACCGTTACTGTCTTAGGGCTTCTTGAGGCCATTCTAGAATATGCTTTGCTCTTCCATGTGAGGGCTGTAGCCACGGGCCTAGGAGAAGGGGGCAGTCTTCCTGGTGCAGCCTTTCTTTTGGGGCAGTAGTTTCAATTTTCTTTCTGCTTCATATGCTTGACTTATTTTGTATGTGTATTCCGTATGCAGGATACTTTTCATTAATTGTGTGCAGCTAAGTCTAGGACTGCCCTGGCTCATCACAAACTCTAGCTACTCCATTGGCTCCAGCGTGTAATTAATGAAAACACTGCTCTGCATAACTGTTTTATGTTAGCCTCAACAAGAACTTCATTATATTTTATTATCTCTGCACTGATTTTTGTGTGTCAGTCATTGAACCTAGCAAAACGACTTCATGCTATCAGTGTTTTCACATCATTTTTGTCTGTTTACGATAGGATCATCTCAGTATCAGTGATGGCTGCTGTGTATTAACAACATATAGCTCCATCAGTCTGAGCCAGTGCTGTGACAGCTGCCAATCTGTTATATGGACATGACCCATCAATAATAGGATATGATGTTTAACTTTTTCCTTTTTGACAATGGAGAAATTGATTCAAGTCTATTTTTGGAACAGTTGTACTAGAATTTAATTGATTTCACCCTTGTTAACAATGTGCAACATGTTGCATGCACGGCCAGGTTGCTCAGAAAAAAAGATATTCACCCATGGTTCAGCATAACGTTTTATTCTTCTTTTTTTCTTGCTGATACTTTCAATGCTTTGGGCAGCATCAGCATTTGCGCGACTTGGCTGTTCCTAATGCAACAGATGTCTATTAGAATGACACAAAACACTTTGGTCGCTCTTCATCCTAGTTACACGAGTGTCAAATTTTTAGACCTGGTATCAGAGTGCAGGGAATTATTAGACACAATATATATAAGTTATATTTTCATTGGTACAACAAAAATTGGGTGAAGGTTTATATTTCATGTATATTATTACTCAACACATAAAGTCACTGGTATACTTTATAAACTATGTTGCTATAAACGAAACTAGGTTGTTTCGTTTATCTCCCTTACGGGAGCTCAAACCTTTTAATGGGACCTAAAGAAATTTTCTCTGCACTTCTCACATTGAAACAAAATCTCCATGACAATGCTTAAGACTAATTTTCAAGGGCTTAAATCCTTTATTGAATTAGAAGACGCATCACTACAAGCAGGGCTGGAAGTTAACAACCAAAAAACATGATAATGATAAGAGAAGAACAGACAGATGAAGCCATTAAAATTAGAAACCAGACTTTTGAAAAAAGTAAATCAATTCAAATAGCTGGGATCTTTATTAAATGAAAGAAACAAATTAGTAACAGAAATATAAGAAAGAACATCAGCCGGAAACAGAGTATACTGCAGGGCATACTGCAGGGCATATTGCAGGGCACACTGCAGGGCATACTTCAGGGCATACTTCAGTAGTCAGAAAATACTCAAAAGTAAAAACACTTAAAGAGAATGCCAAATGACAGAGGAGTGAAGAGGGGGGTCACCAAAAACCCCAGAGGAAAATGGCTCAAAGGCAGACCTAGGGGTAGATGGATGGATGATGTGGTAAAAGATCTACAACAACTGGGAATCCAAGCATGGAAAAGAAAAGCATTAGTTAGGGCTGAGTTGATGGAAGTTGTGAGGCAGGCCAAAACCTACATGGGCTGTAGCGCCCCACAGAGATGGGTGGATATTTTGTAAGGCTAATTTGATAGGGTTAATTGTTGTACAATTAAAGACTACAATTAAATTTCTGTGCACTCTTAGACTCCTGGTTTATTTAAAACTAGAACTCACATTTCATTTCACACAGCTCAGACACAGAGGAGACAACTCTTAGCAGAACGAGGAACACATTGGCAGACAGTGATGAGGACTTTAGGTAGCTCCACCCTCCCCCCCGAAGTTCACTGGCCAGTTTGTCAAATTTCTTGACAAGGATTTCCAGTCTCCTGATTTCTCTCAGTTACTTTTATTTTTTTTATTTTGATCTAAAGTAGAATATTTATTTACATATTTGCTAAAAGGTGAATTCATCTGTCACTCTTTCTAAAAGGTATTTACAAAGTCATGTATGTGGTCGAGTCATGAGTTTTATTAAATTAAATATGAAATGTTAATTTATTACATATGCTCATGCTTATAACACTTTGCTTTCATTAATTTAAGGACATAATTAATAATATCCCAATGACCCGTAGATTCCCTTTCTGTTTGTTGAATTAGAAGAACATGATTTTATATACCTGCTTTTATAATTTATAGTGATAAATATTAAGTTCCCCATGGAACAAAAGCTCATGGATTATGTGATGTGGTAAACTATGTCAGATTTGGTCCATATCACCATGTCTGAATTACTTTCAATTAATTTGTACCGGGCTTGTTCCTCATTTACACTTTTGCCATTTAAACAGACATTGTTTCATCTTGGTTAACTCTGGGGCCTGCTTGGTCCAGTCTTGTCTGGGGCCTGCTTGGCCCAGTCTTGTCTGGGGCCTGCTTGGTCCAGTCTTGTGTGGGGTTTACAAATTTTTATATATAAATGGGGGATTTTTTTTAATGAACTCATAATTTTGATACTGAGGGATTGAACAAATTTTCTATTGATCACCCTTCCATCCATCTCCATTGCACCGTTGAAGGTTCATTTCTTTGTTGTCGTCTATTATTTTCCATTGATGTATTGCCATTTCTTGTCAACCAATTTTGTTTCCAACTAGCATTTGTAAACCAAACATCAGAAGGAAAATTGTTATCATAATGATTTTTTGTCATTTCTTTAGATCTACTATCAATACCAACAGAAAATGGCATCAATCTTCTTTTTTTTTTTTTTTTTTTTTTTTTTTTTTTTTTTTTTTTTTTTTTTTTTTTTTTTTTTTTTTTTTTTTTTTTTCTTTTTTTTGCAATGAAACTCTGCGGCATATGTCTTATGTCATTTTTTTCTAGGTTTCATGTCTCAGTTTTTTTCAAGTGTTGTGGAGAAAGATACATCATCAGATTCAGCAATAAGTAATCTACCAATAAGCTTGATAGGACATAAAAGAAATGAAAGGAATGAAAGAGAAAAAGATTTCCCTGTTAAAAATCCTGTAGAAATGACAACGCGCATGATGTAAAAAAAAGTTTTTTTAAAATGCAAATTTTATTAATGCATCAGCTGACTGCACCATACCACTGTATTGGGGTGTCAAATGAGAATTTCTGTGAAACATTTGTATTTAATTTATTATTCTTGCAACAGCAGCCCCTCATTTGATTGATGGGTAGGACAATGTTAACAGCATCAGCCCATAGAGCAAGTTATAATTTTGAAATAACTGAAGATCCTGAATAAGGAAAAAAAAAACACTAATATCCAAAGATGTCAAGCTTGAAGCTATAAAATGTCACTCGTTGTGTGACTCCATGAAATTGTCATGAATCAGATAAAAGTATTTTTGTTCGTTTCTGAATGTTTTGCTTCTGTTCATCAAATTTTGAAACTCATCTTTACACCGTACAAAGATCTATTTTATGTTCAAGTACATCATTCACAAGATATTTTATGTACAGTAATTTTTGTAAAGAGAAACTCATCTCACTGAAATTTACACTGCATATTTTAATGTACATGTTTCAAGCGATTATAAATGTATAAATGAACATGCAACAATTGATCACTTAATGCATAACTGTGTACCTGGACTCTCTGGACGTTAGTTAAATCAACCAGTAGGAATGTAACACTGGACCTTATTCCTGCCTACAAGTGGGTGCATACTCACATTTAATGTCACTTCCTGTTGACGTAGGCTAAGGGCAACTAGCAAGGGATTGTTCAGTTACATCATGTCTGCGGTTTCAGTTGACTATATCTGATGGGGGCCATGATCAGTAAGGCATTTAGACCAGGTTCTGTCAACTAGACCAGGTTCAGCCACTAGACCAGGTTCTACAATTACAGACCTAATTACTCTTACGATTTTGGCGTACAATGTATGATTTTGAGATGTATACACTATATATACTGTAAGTTTATTTTTTACTATTAAGATAATGTATTGAACAATTTTTTTAATGATATTGTACGATTTTAAGAGTTTCGGGGTAAATAGGTCTGCAATTAGAGCAAGTTCTGCCAACTAGACCAGATTCTGCAATTAGACCAGAATATGTCAACGAGACCAGGTTCCGTAAACATTTTGTAGAGTGCAATCAAGAACACCAACTGCTAAAAAAAACATGTCAATTAATTGGGAAAACCCATTTTGAGATATTTTTATGTAGGCCCCTTCAGGCCGTCAACCTCTTAATGTTTTTTTGGATGGACTCTCTTGTTGGATGAGTTACCTCATAATGTGTATTACCCTTTGGGACGGATTAAATTATTGGATGAATTCACAGATTAGGTGCATTAACACGTTGGACGAATCGGCTGCTCTTCAATGATGATGAACTGATGCCTATATTTGTATTATATTTTCATCGACCTTTGAACTTCAATAACTTTGTTTATCAAGCAGTAATGGTTTTTGAATCGATTAAGTCATGTTAAGTATTGTTGTGTTGCTGTTTCACCAGGTTGTTCCTTTAACTGTTGACATTTCAGTGGAAATACACTCGCATAATTATGGACTAAATTATTTTTTTTATGGACTTTACAGTTTACAGTTTTGTTACAAATATTTACAAAGATTTACTTTTATCAATCACAAGGCCGGGTTTTTTTGTTCTTCTTCTGTTTGACAGATGAAATTTGGTTTGAGAAAGTCATTTAGCAAATGTTCACATACGATAGTTAAGACGAAACCTTGAATCACTTTCAGACCATGCTGAAATGTATTCAATGTTTATATCTAGTCCTCCATTCTAATCTGTTTATGTCTTACAGTTATTTAGTTATGGCCAGGCATGAATACACATGGTCCACAGCATCATGAGAGGGTTGAAACCACATAGGTTTGTGTTAGAAATTATCTTGACTCTATAAATGTATTAGTATGAGTATTATATTTGGGATATTTAACTAGGGTATAAAATGAGGGTAAAATGGCATCAATAAACTCTTTTACTTCTCACCTCCAGGTCTCCACAGGTGTTCTCCACCTTAGATCTTCTCCACATCAGGTCTTCTCCACATCAGATCCTCTCCACATCAGGTCTTCTCCACGTTAGGTCTTCTCCACGTTAGGTCTTCTCCACATTAGGTCTACTCCACATTAGGTCTCCTCTACTACATCTCTTCTCTACATTTTGGTACAAATGTCTCCTTGGTATTAACAGAGCTCATGGCTTTACAGTTTGGGTACCCACGGGTACCTGTTGATTTATTCCATTTGTTCATTCCCTCTATTTGTTCATTCCTTATTTGTAAACTGTGATTTTTTTTAATGCTCAGACTCACAGCAACACGCAGAATTTTGCAAGTTTATAAAGACAGACTGGAGTCTGCCTGTACATGTTATCATGTTTATCACAACAATAAGTGAAAATTGTCAAACAGACTCATCAATCTGTGTTTGATGAGTAACGTACATCTGTCTGATGTGTCTGTCTCGTGTCATCATGTGCTATTATGTCATCATTCCAGCATGGTTATGTATATACTCTTCTATTTACATATTATATAGCATATACTCCCTTAGCTCACCTACTGCATTTACCCTGTAGATTAGAATCTGGTATAACCGACCATTTCATTTTGTTTGACATGTATCATGTGCATCACTAGTATTGCCCTATTTCATGTCCTTGACCTATCTCGGGGTCAGTCGCCTGGTTGTTCCTAGCTGGTACAAGAACTCTGTATTATGTTTCTGATATGACTTGTTAATATTCTTTAGGGTCATTTCTAGATTGGGGTCCCCATTGGATCACATACCTGGATCACCACTCTTGAGCTAACACAGATATGACAAGTCTGTCATGTGGTATGAATATGTTGTATGGTATCTGATCTGCTAGACGTCTAGTAGAGGCTGTCTAGTACTAGTAGAGTCTATCTAGTAGAGGCTGTTATCACGTGGGTATTTGTTTCAAGCAGGGTTGATGTTTATATGACTTCATTGGCATAATGAAACATTTTGTTTGAATGTAAATTTGTTGGGTTTTTTTATTGGTGGCTTTAATAAATTTCAGTGCTAAATGACCATCTCGTAAAGTGAAACTGCATTATTAAATAGTAATTTTGTATGAAATCCAGTGCTGCTGTCCACTATAAGGGTCAGTGGGCAGTAGGCAATCAGCTTTCTGCAACAATCAGGTTGTGATCATACAAAACACATCAGTACCAATCAATTATGTGACAGGAATGTGATGGAACGTATTGGGCTACATGTGGCTCTGTGAAAGCCTTACTGGGCTACATGTGGCTCTGTGAAAGCCTTACTGGGCTACATGTGGCTCTGTGAAAGCCTTACTGGGCTACATGTGGCTCTGTGAAAGCCTTACTGGGCTACATGTGGCTCTGTGAAAGCCTCACAGTGAAGTTGTAAAATGGCTTGTGGGAATTTATTTCCCCCATCCCCGGCCCACCTTACAGTCACACTATTGTTCACTTGTTTTTTTTAAATTGTTTTTTTAATGTCACTTCTTTTTGTGATGCCAATTGTATTGAGTGATGCAATGATTAAGTTCATTCATATACTATGTTGGTGCAATATAATTTAACTGATTGTCATAGGATTTTATTGATTGTATTTGTAACACTGGGGCTAAGTGAAGCCTGCCATGTACATTCATTAATCAGGGAGAGATTTGAGGATTGATCATGTGACAATGTTTAGTGTCAAGTGCACAAATTTTGTGTATGTTTTTTGGAATCAACTTTTTTCCAAATCTCTACATTCTTTCATCATTCTATTAGAGATATTACAATGACATTCAGAATAGTTTGGTTCAAAAATGGCTACCGGTATGAAGATTATGGGGCTTTTGTTGGGGTGTTATAATATTTGTCCATTTCAGTCGAATCGCTTCAGGTGTTCTCAACTTGTTGTGAGGTGAAAATTTAATTTTAAAATATTTACCCATAAAATTGAAATGATTTTTTTTAATCATTGATTAGGATTTGACCAAAAAAAAAAATATTTTTGTTTCTGAAAATACTTATTGAGTACCTTCACCATTAGGTTTTTTCAAATGTCAGATCGAGTATGGATACTACTGGATAAAAGGAGGTGTTATCATTTCTCAAACCATAATTTTGAAACTGGATAACCAAATTAAAAAACACCTGCTGTAGGAACATTAAAAAATAATTGCTTTCTATAGTGCATCATCCAGTGGGATTTTATTTTTAATTGTCCTTACCAGTTTCAGGCATTCCATAAGGCTTTGAAACATTTTGTGATGTAATAGGTCACTGTAGACCCCCATGTGATGTCTTGTCAATCCAAACTCTATCCCAAACTCTATCGTGATGTGGTAGTTTGTCTTTTGTGATGTGGTCGTTTTTTAAGTGATTTGAACATGGCAGGTAGTGTAAACACCCTGTAACCATGTTCCTACAATGATTTCAGATGATCAATAAAAATGGATCGATTTCAATTTGATTTGTTTTGATTTTTCTAAGTTCTTGGTTTCAGGTATTGAATCATTAAGAAAAGGGTTTTTCTTTTTTTTTTCTAAAAATTAACATCTGACTCCAATGAAGGCCCTCTTATATAACTTGAATACTTCAAGAGCTCTTTAATTTAGGGGCAAATAATTCAAGATGAATCTTTAAGGGGAGGGGGGGGGGGGAATGGTAGTCAAAATGCTAAAAATTTTAAATACATGACAGAGTCAGAATTTTTTTTGCTACCCTGGAAAGGCAATTGAAAGACTTTA